TATATATATATATAGGGCGGTGATTTCATGCAATGGTTGTATCATAGTATAATGCAACGATACTTCTAGAAAACCATGTTTGTGGTATTTGTATGATCCAAAATTTTGCACACACATTCTCTTTATCTCAATAATCAATTCCCAAAAAAAAAGTTCAATTTGAACCTTAGATATGGTAAAAATGAGTCCCCTTCAACAATGAATCTAGACCATTCATTCGGTGAATTTCAAGATCTTAGCCTTTATACACTCAAAATCATTTTTTTCTTTTTACCATTGTCTATCTAATGATAATAACACCATCCAAAAAAATTGGAAATGAAAAAATCCTTCTAAGACCTAGATCTTAGCACGTCACCAAAATGAACGGTCCATATTAATTGGGCTAAAAAAATACTTTCTAGGTTGTGTTTTCAAATTTTTCTTTTTTGTGGTTGTTCATTAGAATGAAAAGAGTGTATATTTCAAAATTTGGATCAAACAAATGGCCATACCATGGTTTTTGAAGGTTGTTGCATCATATTACTATACAACCGTTGTATGAAATCATTGCCCATATATATATATATGGGAAATGATATCATGTCAACATGCCATTATAATATAATGAAACCACACTTCTAGAAAACTATGTTTGTGGTAATTGTATGACCCAAAATTTTGCACGCACACTCTCTTCATCTCAATACTCAATCCCAAAAAAAAAAAAATTTACATCCTAAATATGGTCAAAATGAGTGCCCTCCAACAATGAATCTAGACTGTCCATTTGGCATTTGGTGAATTTCAAGATCTAGGCCTTTATGAATTCAAAATCATTTTTTTTCTTTTTTACATTAATTTAATTATAATAAAGTTATCTAAAAAATTTGGAAAGAAAAAAGATTCTTCTAAGGCCTACATCTAAGCATCTCACCAAAATGGACGGCCTATGTTAATTGGGCTAAAAAACACTTTCTAGGTTGTGTTTTCAATTTTTTCTTTCTGCAATTGTTCATTAGAATGAAAAGAGTGTATATTTTAAAATTTGGATCAAACAAATGGCTCTAATATGGTTTTTGAAGATTGTTTCATTATGTTACTATACAACCGTTGCATGAAATCACTCTTGTATATGTATATATACCAACATTTAATTTTTCCATCTACAAAGTCCTAAGACATATGGTTTACAAATTACAACTAATATTATTTGAATTCCTCGCAATCTAATTTCAAAATAAAATGAAATAATGCACTCTCTACCCCGTACCATCTCAAAATCCAGAAGCTGTGAGAAAAGACACAAACTATATGGGTTACAAATAGATCCAATATTGGTATTTATAATTTTTAAATTATGTTAACAATTGTTATATATGTATAATTTATAAGATATTTATATTAATAGATATTGTACTTTCAACCACGTGCCATCTCAAAATCCAAAAGCTACAAGGAAATATGCGAACTAAGGGACCTGTAGACAAATCCAGTATATGTGGTGATCATTATTATAATAACACTCTTGCACACACACAAATTTATATTTCATGAGGATTTAGAATGTGAAATACAGAGAGTTTGGGAAAGGTTTAAGGATGCTCATACTATTGGAGACATAAAGATAGAGTTGAAGATAATTCACTAATAAAGAGGAAAATATGTCCTTGACAAAATCGTAATAAACTTATCTAAAAAATAAGGAAAGAGATATATGTGACAAATTGATATATTGTAAAAATCAAGAGGACAGAATCAGCACTAGAGAGGAAATGTGTTGTAAGATACATAGCAAGATTTTAATTTAAGGATAAAGATAAATAGATAGACAAAAAGTGTCAAATGGCATAAATTAGGAATCAATTGGACAAAATTGGCATTGGAAAGGATATTTGTCATAATAATAAACATCTCACTTTATGTATTCTTAATAAAATGGATAGACAAAAGGTGTCAAATGGCATAAATTAGGAATCAATTGGACAAAGTTGGCATTGGAAAGGATATTTGTCATAATAATAAACATCTCACTTTATGTATTCTTAATAACATGGGCCACTGTAATATGCCTTACAGATTAGCGTGAAAAGAAAATGGTTATCCATACTTTACTCCTCTTACAAGGGTTTGTGAACCATGATACAGGTCTTTTGGCCACTGTCGCAGACGACAAGGTTCTTCGTTTATATGATGTTCTTGCTGTTAGGATGGTTCGGAAATTTGAGGGACATTCAGACCGTATTACTGACTTATGTTTCAGTGAAGATGGGAAATGGCTTTTGTCTTCAAGTATGGATGGAACTCTTAGAGTATGGGATGTGATCAGGGCTAAGCAGATCGATGCGATACATGTTGATGTGGCTATTACAGCATTATCACTGTCTCCAAGAATGGATATTTTAGCAACTACGCATGTCGATCAAATTGGAATTTACACTTGGTGAGTAGCACTAGTCCAGGTAGCTCTGTTGAAATGAAACTGTAGTAATCATTGGAGTTAAAGAAAATCATAATACATTGGACCATGGGGGAAAACCAGAGTCTGTTAGGTCGTTATTGTCCTTTGAAATGGTGGTCGGGGATGGAGGGAGAATGGACCCACCAAAAAAATAAATCAACTGGTGGACCCCTCGCTCTCTTTTCATCGTCCATCATTCATTGGATGGTGATGACCCAATGGGCTGTGGTTTGCATAGACCATCGAATTATACCTTATTTTCCATCAGTTGAGGTATTTTTGCATGTTTCTCACTCACTTGTGACTTATTTTGGGTGCTCGACTACTATGGAAATTTTAGCTGCTTCATGAATGATAACAAACTCAAATTGGAAGAAGAGACGGCGTTACGGTTAACATTTTCAAAAAAAAAGAAAAAAAGAGATGGCATTTGAAAAACATCGGATTTGGATGGATATGGAGTACATGACGTGATTTCCATGATTTTAACATGATATTGAAGACCTATGATATTCTGGTGGTTGCAAAAGCCATTTACTTATCCTTTGCTGACATTAATACTTAGCTATTAAAAATCATTGGAAGGGATTGAAGGAATCTTCGTGAGTTGTCGCCTCTTATCTAAAGATCTCTTGTGAAGTTTCTTGAAGTGCCAGATGAAGATGTACAACTTAGTCTAATGATTACTTCTGGATAAAAACACGCTGGCCAAATAAAATGGATTGGCAAGCTTAGCAGATCAGATTTGAAATTTTTGCCTAGTCATTCTAACTAACCATATATATTGAACTAGCATCGATTTTCCTTGTTGAGCAGTGAAGGAAATGTGCCTCCTGGCCTTCTAGGTGGGCCATGGAGCCATCCTCACCAAATGGGCCAAGGTGGGCATACTATGCAGAGTTGTACTAGGGTGCTCACCCAGGCGCCATTTGCCAGATCGAGTGAGGCTTCTCTCTGTCTCACACACACACATGCGTGCGTGTGCAAGGACCCATATACTCTCTCTTTGTCCACATATAAGAAGAAGAAAAAGAAGATGACCTCTGAGTTTTTAATGCGATGTCTGTCTCTCTCACACGGACCCATATGCTCTCTTCTCTCTCTCTACTCTCTGCATATATGAAGAAGAAGAAATGCGACAACCTTCGAGATCAATGCTAGGCGCCTCTCTCTCTGTCTCTCTCTCTCTCAGAGACACAGACCCTTGTGCTCTCTCTCCTCTCATTGTTCGATTTGAGGCCTCTCTCTCTCTCTTTCTCGCTACATATACCAACACCCCCAACCCCTTCTCATTTAGGGAAGCCTAGGTGGCAGCCTGGCTTCCTTGGTGGCCAAATCCGCCTTTTGCAACACTGTTTTAAGCAAAGCCAACCCATTTGATATAAACGAGTTGGTTACCCTGATTCTCATTAATTTAGGTGCTTCCAGTATGACCCCAAAACCCTTTTCATTTCAACTTCAATTTATCAGCATATAAGAAGCAGAAAGTCTGGATATTCTCTGACTTGAATGTTTGACAGGAAAGTCAATGTTGTGTATGTATTCTGAGGCTGTGGGTGCTTTGGCAAGCTCTACCTTGTAGACATGGCTTTGGGACTTTTTGGTTGTATTATTCTTAGCATTGTTGAATAAAATGGAATGTCATATTCTTTTAGAAAAAATACTTCTCTTACATTTGGAATAAGTTGGTTTGGTAATTCTTAATATAAGTGAATGGCAGAAAAAAGAAATTCCCTCAATTTCATTATTAAAAATGTTCCCTCAATTTAGCCAAGTTTAGTTATAGCTTATCCTCAATTACCTGAATTCTTATTAAAACAAATACAACTTTTATTTTTTTCTGGATTCTGACAAAGCAGCTAATGTCGTGCTTCTTTCTTATCTTGTTAAAATGGATACACAAAATAAATAATAGGCTTCTGAGTACTGTTACTGTTAATCCCAGTTCTTTATGCATCTACATGTGTGCTGTTCCTTTTTTATTGAAGGCAATGTTGATTTGTATGTCTATTTGGTTTTCACTTATTCACTTTTATCGGCTTGTATCAGGGTTAATCAAATGTTATACTGTGGCTCCTTGAATGTGGACTCCTTTGGTAGTAAGAGTGAGGTTGTGAAGGTTCAATTGCCTACTGTCTCTTCGAAACAAGGTTCCGAGGACATCGACACTGTTCATGAGCAAAAATCTGAAGGCACTGAAACTTCTGTTCCATATTCTAACTCTCAAATTCCTGATCTAGTTACTCTGTCCTTACTGCCCAAGGCCCAATGGCAAAGCCTCATCAATCTTGACCTCATAAAGGTATCTGACATTTATTTGCACAGGAAGTTATGCTAAGACCGTGTTATCTTACCAAATGGGAGAAGCGAGCAAATATAATCTGGGAGATCAAACTACTTTAACCATTGAAAGAATGACAACTTCTTGTTTCTTGGAATGATTGAATGCTGTTTACTTTCAGACTTCAGCATGCAATCTTAGTTCTGGAAATATTGTTATAGTAATAAAATATGTAAAGAAGTATTTGATTACTTTCTCACTTTTTCTTTTTGGCTGTTAGTAATAGCTTTCCCTGTTGGCTATGATAAATTAATGTCCGCCATGAACTTTATCTCTTCATGGACTTTTGTTCATTTTGTTTCTTACTGATCTTCAGATACGAAATAAGCCCATTGAACCGCCTAAGAAACCAGAGAAAGCTCCATTTTTCTTGCCCAGTCTTCCTTCACTCTCTGGTGATGTATCATTTAAGCCTAGTTCTATTGATAACAGTACGAGCGAGAAAGGGACAGAAAATGATAAAGGGCTTTCACGACCTTATAGTAAGTGGGAACATGAATCATCAACTCTATTTGTGCAACTCCTGCACTCGTGTTCAGAGACGAAGACCTGTAAGTGCACTTGTTAACATGTTATGCATACTCGTATTGGGTAATTCTTTTTTCTTTAAAAAAAAAAGTATGGTATTACTTTTTGTCCCAAGGATTTTTACTATTACAATCTATGAAAAATTATTGTCATTAATGCCTGATCATTTGACTTATCAATACCCTTTTTTATGGCAGTTCATGAATTCAGAGACTACATTAAGAATCTCTCTCCCTCAACTCTGGACATGGAGATTCGAATGCTTCAGATCATTGATGATGAAGATATTCAAGAACCTGAGCAAAGACCAGAACTGCTATCAATTGGATTACTTTTGGATTATTTTATACTGGAAGTTTCACATGGCAGCAACTTTGAATTCATTCAGGCTGTGATTAGAGTTTTCCTGAAGGTATTGTATATGTAATGTATGCATTATATATATAATGTATCAATATGGGGCTTGTGAACAGCTAAAATATTTCATTCTTTATGAGTCTCATGTTGCTACTAGAAAACTACCCTTGGATTTATTGAAGCAGCGGTTAAAGTTTTTCTCAATGTTGAATCTAGTATATCGACTTTAGATTTGTACGTGGCTGAAATCTGATTAGCTTGTAAGCCTTTTATCCCTAAATTATATAACTACTCATGAATGATCATTGGAGCTGAAGTTATGACCAAGTACTTTCTTTCAAATTACTAGTTTCTTGACTTTTTGAATTCATGAATTGATCAAAATATTCATTCCAGAACTATAAAGAGTACCACCAATCACCATAATCATTCAAAGAATGTGTATCAAACATCTATGTAAGGAAACTTATATGTTTTTGGTTGAGACTGCTCTCTCAGATGGAATATGACTTACCTCCCCGCAATTCTGGTGGGTTATATTAAGTCACTACATTTTTTTCATAGATAGATATATTAATATGTACTCTTTTATATTGAGTCACTTCTTCAATGTAAACCTTTTACTTTTCTATTCATTATTTGTACTCCAAATTGAACTGTCTCGAGAGATAAGAAGCCTACCACAAATATTGATTTCCATTCTTTTTAACTTTTCTGGTTTGATAGATACATGGCGAAACAGTGAGACGCCATGCCATGTTGCAGAAGAAAGCACAGAAACTTCTGGAAATTCAAGCTTCTGTTTGGCAGAAAATTGACACAATGTTTCAGAGTACAAGGTGTATGGTAACATTTCTCAGCAATTCCCAGTTTTTTTGAAACAACTATTAAACGAGGTAACCTTCTGATGCTTTAATTCTTGTTAATTGCTACCGTCTAATACTTGTCTTTTTGGATAATTGGACGTGCAGTCATGCATGCATATTGTCTGCTTGCATTTGTCATATGCATGGGTGTGTGCAAGAGAGAGAGAGAGAGAGAGAGAGAGAGAGACTTGGCATTTGGTGATTTCATGATGATATTTTCCAGTTGGGCCTTTTATCTTATTTTTACTATTATTTAGCTGGAAGAAGAAGAAGCTTTTAAGGTCATTGACGACCACGCAAGCGTGTTTGGCTGATACACGCATGTACTTCACGCTTGGAGCCTGGTTGCGAGATGCAGGATCGAGATTGACTGAAAGTTTGGATCTAAATCATGCTGGTTAACTTGAACTATAATTACACTACATGACTCTGCATACAGACATACACACTTCCTATAAGGAAAACGAAGATAGCTTTGCACTGGTGAGAGATTGAGAAACTTTCAGGGTTCACAACTGGTGAGAGATTGAGAAACTTTCAGGGTTCACAGAGAGAGAGAGAGAGAGAGAGAGAGAGAGCCCTTGCAACAACTCCGGACTTCTTTTTTCCTAGCAATGAGGATTGCATCGAACAAGAAAATTTTGTACCATGTATAAGGGTATATCGGGGCAAAGTCTATTTATTGTTGAATTTTGGCTTATTGGCGTTCTGTTCTTGATATTATATACACACACATAGACAGCCCTTTTGATTTATTAAAAAATATCCCAGTGTATTTTTACATTTTATGCTTCTCTCTTTGTATTTTTTATTTTTTTAAGATACCCTTGTTTTCATTGTAAAGAATCAACGCAGTTCAAAACCAATAGCTTTGGACCACTTATTGTATGAAATCGCTTTGAGTGCAGTTCCGAACTTGTGCGGAAACAAAGTGGTAAAGAATCAAAGGTGCCCATTGAATGTAATGTCCTGAGAAAATCTGCATTTAGTGTGAAGAAGTGCATAACCATTTCATACATCTTCGATGAAACAATTGCTTAAAATGCTCTCTTTTTTTTGTCCCTTTTAAACAACATTGCAAGTAAAAAATGACGACTATTCGCTCTTTCTATTGGGGTATTATGTTGTCTTTTTTCCTCAATTATTTAGAATCCATATTGCCTGAAATGGAGCTAGAATTAACCCATCCACCATTATGATACCCTTGTGGGTAATTGATAGTTTATCACCAGAATGTTGCCTAATATACGAGCCTGTTTGAATGCATTGTCAAACCGTTTTGTTGCATTTTTACAATAAATGGATGTATATTAGCAACATATTTGGATTTCATTTGGTATTTACAAATGCACTTGGAATTTGTAAATGGGTTCCAAGTATAAGTATGAGAAAATGTAGATTTCATTCCACTAGTAAGAGGGCATGACTGATCCACAAATTCTATACATGTATTTCTTGGTCCATATACACCGCCACAACCACCGCCACCATCAATATACCTCCACCACCACGAGAGCGTTGCTTTTGCTCTCAACACCACATCCATCACCTTGAGACCTGACTTTTGCCCCCAACATCACGCCTATTTCCACTTCTGCCGCCACCACCACACATGCTTTACTGCTACCACCTCTATTGCTACTATGTTATTACAATTGCAACCACCACCCCCCTTGTCCGCAGTGTTTACTACGGCCACCAGCCTCATTGGTGCACTTGTTGCCAAACTACATCCACATCACTCGTCACCATCAACACCACAATGTCATCGTTGCCATTGTTACATCGCTGCCACCACTACGACTATCACAACACAGCCACCAACATCACTACCACTGCCATCAGTGCTGCTATAATCTTATCACTGCCACTATCAAGCCATTCAAAATATGCGAGTTGCAAGCCATGATAATTCTGCCATGGCTAGTCTCAAACCGGTTATGCTACTTCCAAGCTTAAAAAAAGGAGGGTTGTGTCAGGCTACTAACATAAAACTTTGCTATATCTTTTCGTGAATCATAGATCAATATTACATACTCATGCTAAGAAGTTCTTCATAAGTGATGTACCGTACTGGTAGACATGGATGGAAGGTAGACATAGATGGAAGTAATGAGAAGATATATGATGGCATGTGGTGTGATTGAGAGTATAGCTCTTGATAGAGCAGAATAACATAACATGATTCGTGTAGCCGATCGAAATAGTTGAGATAAAACGTGGATGATAATAATAAATAATTGCAAGTCATGATAAGGCATCCAAACACTATATAATTTCATTTGAAGTATAATTGGTCAAAACTACCAAACGCCACCATGCATTTATAGAAATGAAATGCATGCACATGGAAATAAGCCAGTCTTCCAGCAATTTTCTTATTTTCTTTAAAGGGGAAAGATTTGTTAGTCTGAAATTTCAAAGGTTGGTTTAGAATGGTAAAAAAATGGAGGGAGTGAGGAACAATTCGATAAAGAAGGGAAAAAACAAGAAATGAGAGAGGACAACTTCGTTATTTGTTTTAAGCGTCTAAGCAATTAAGAATATCTGACCACGTGACTGTTTACTGTATTTAGCGTACTCTCGCGGATCATACTGTGTACTCACTTTTATCGTGCGAAAGAGCTACTTTGGAGAACTTTTTCCACTCTATATTTAGGATCCAATTAATCATCATATGATTGCTTTTAGAAAGTAAATTTGAATTTCGGCTCTTAAAAACTTAGGTATGAAATTGGATGGTTTCTAATCAATGTTTAGAGGTTGCATTCTTTTTTAATTTTTTATTATTAAACTGCCTGAAAATTTCAAACTATTTAACCCATATTTTTTATTAACTTAAGATATCCCATTATTCACATTTCAAATAGGCCAAGAAGTAGACACATTAAAATGGATTTTGAAATTTATCGAGAAACCGTAGAAAAACGTTTATATAAAGGGCCAACCTTATACCAAACAAAGAAAGTGCACCTTAAAAACCTGTTGAAAAATGTTGCTTTGATGCTGAAAATTCTCATTTTGATATATGTGGATGTATAAATATATTGTATTATAAAAATATGATTTTAAGTCCTAAAAATAGTGTATCCTATAACACATTTCTTTTTTCAAAACTTTTAATTAGTTTATTTGTTTAAAGTTTCAGAACTACTATTATTTTAAATTAATTATTGTATTTTTTTAAAAAATAAAATAACAAGAATTTATAGTTTTGCAATCTAAAATTTCACTAAAAAAGTATGAATTTAAAATCATAAATTCCATCTCAAGAAAAAAATGCCATCAAATTTATAACTTTATTTGCATGGTAGCATTAAAACTAAACTTTGAAACCCATTTATGTTATGAATTTTTTTTTTTCATAATAGTATTATTAAAATCAACTACGAGATGTCATTTAATAAACTTACTCAGGAGCACAGTAAATTTTAATCTCAATGGAAGTAATTTCATTTTATAAGCATAACTTTAAAATATCAAATTATTAAAAATTATTTAATAACCTACATGAGCTTAAACTTATAATTATAAATTAAATTTTAAAAGTTTAAGTTTTCAAATCTTATTAAACTTGTTTTTATTTTATAAATCTTATCTAGTTTAATATTGCAATTATATAAACTTAAATTTATGACCGAGCAATTATTTTTATTGGGATTACATAAAAGGAAAAAGTTTATATAGAGCCGAGGCTCTAAACAATTAAATTAGAGAGCACCTCAAAACTTTCACTAGAAGAAATTGTTTTGATGCCCAAATATCCTCAAGTTGATCATCCATCAAGATCCATGGGCAGGAGAAAAAAATGGAATTCACGTTTTGGAAATAGTGCATATTGTAATGCAGTTTTTGACCGTCAATTTTTCATGATTTTCCAGGTTTGATATATATATATATATATGCTCGATCTACATTATTTTTGAAGCTGTAAATTTTATGATTAGATATGCAAATATATTTTAAGGCTATCACAAGGATATCCAGAATTGAAACCAAATTTGTCGACAGTATTTGAAGGTGTGCTCTACTTTGATTGTTTAGAGCGTTGGCTCTATACAAGCCGCACCCTACATAAAATCACACATGTTTTTGATAATCTATCTAGCATTTTAGGCAATTAATTCAATATTGCTATTGTGTTCCTCGAATCAAAACCAATAATTAAAAAAATTAAATAGCCAGTAGTACTATAATCTAAATTTGAATCTTAATCAATAACTTTAATAATATATAACCTTACAATTAGAACTATAAAATGCTGATTTTTTTAAATTTTTTAATAATTATTTGTGAATTAGAAAATAATGCTGATTAAAATTATTGTTTAACAAAGTTCAATTTAACCATTTTTTAAAAAAAATTGGGTACTATTGTTACTTTAGATTAATTTCTAAAATGGGGCATTATTTTTATGGTAGAAATGAAAATCATGCTTGTACTCACACAAAGACATATATAAGATTTTATAGCTATGTGGTAATTAAACTTTAATCTGCAGCCTGAGGAAAAAAAGATTCTCAAATTTATAAACTTAATTCAGTTAAACGATAAAATTAAGTTATTCTCATCAATAATATGTTAAACTCTTCATGCATTATAAACGTTGGAATTTCTGAGTTTTAACACTTGTTTGTGTTCTGTTCACAATGCAATGATAATTAAAAGGGGCATTATTTTTATTGTCGTGTTACGTTATTATTTGTAATTTTGTGCCGATAAAAATATAAATCTAGAGTAAAAAAAGTAGTGCCAAATTTATAAATTTTAATTGAAAAAAATAATTAATTTTCTATTTTTAACTAGTTTCAGTCATATAAACTTCTTTTTGTTTATAACAACAATATAAAAATCGCTATTTATGATTTCAAGATTTTAACCAATTTTTTTATAAATTATTTTGATATCTATTTATCCTATATATATTAAATAAAAATAAAGTGAAAATTCTATATAAGGCTGACACCTTAAAATGTAGAATTAAATTGCACCTCTAAAATATTTTGAAAAATGAAGTTTTGATGTTGAAAAAACATCCAATTGATCATCTCGATGTATAGATGTATAGAAAAAGAGAGATTTCAAGTCCTTCAAAGGGTACTTATTGCAACATATTACGATCGTTCATTTCCAATATTTTCTCGTGTTTATACATTTGCTTAATTTGAACCATTTTGATAGCATAAATTTTATAATTAGAGATTAAAACATAGATTCTTATACTATCCTACGAATTTTGGACACCAAAATTATATATCATAATAAAGCTTGGAGATACACCTCACTCTAATTGTTGAAGGTTGAAGCCTTATATGCAAAGCACACTAAAAAATTAGATACAGGACGGCTGCAGCCCACATGCCTCGCCTGATACAATTCATAAAACAAATGGTTCAACTTTTAAATGCATTCGATGTGGCTCCATATGATTGTACTCGAAATGATCTTGTGCTCCCGCAGGAGCACATAATCGTTTGTCCTGATATATATGTGGCAAAAGTCGGTGTGCTGGATCAGCTTAGCTTACTTCACTACTTGTATATGGCTCCTTAAGTTTATCAGCTGCCAGATTTCAAGAATATTCAAAGGTATTCATCTTTCTTAGAGATTTGAATTCTTTAATTTGATTTTGATGCGAGCTTTGATCTTCTCTCTCTGAATCTGGAGAGGACTGCAACAGTTTTTATTGAAATTTGGATTGTTTAATCTTTAACATGATGTATCTAAAATTATTTTCTTGTCATGCATATTTCAGCTGATAACTAACACAATGTTTAGTTTGAGACTTGTTAGCAGTTGTATTTTGATCTGGTCTCTCTCTCTCTCTCTTCTCTATTGAATCGTCTAATATGATATTTGCGGTATTTCATTCTTGCTATAGTGCTTTATCTACCTACATTTTAGCCAAATATGTACTTGTTTGATATAAGCATTTTGAACTCTCTATCTCAAGTATTTGAAATTTTGTGTATTACAGTTGTTTGAATCAAAATGTGGAGGCTTAAGATTGCAGAAGGTGGAGATCCATGGCTTAGGACGCTTAACAATCACATAGGGAGACAAGTGTGGGAATTTGACCCTACTTTTGGGTCATCAGATGATCGAGAAGCTGTTGAAAAGGCTCGCATGGAGTTTCGAGCTAACAGATTTGAGCATAAGCACAGTTCGGATCTCCTTATGAGAATGCAGGTGAAAAAAAAAAAAATCCTTATATTGATTGCTCTTTTTATTTATTTATTTTTTATTTTTATAGAAAACCTTTGGGTGTTTTCTGATACTTTTAATCTTGATGTTTATATTTTTTCACATGTGTGGTCCCTTTATGTTTGCATCGTAGGGTGATTATGGCCAGAGTTTTGTCTTAATTTGTTACCATTGTAGGTTTTCTTGGTAAATAAAAAAAATTGATTGTAAATTTGTGATCAATGGTGGTCCTTATGCAAGAGGAGGCTCCCCTCTTTTCCATTTTTTTATTTAAAATATTATTGTTGTTTCTGGGTGAGATCACTCTTTCACTAAATGGAGGAAGAGTTAACAAAATAAAAGTTTTACAAGGGAAGCAAGATTGAAATTGTAAATTTTTTCTGAATCTGTTTTTTTTTTTTTCTTTTTTGAATCTAAGATTGTGATTGTAAAGTTTTTTACTACATCTTTTATTTTGTGAAAACTGATAAATGCCCAAAATTCTGGGATGGTGATCTTAGTGTCATGAGTCTCCTCAGAATGAGTTGAATGTTCCCTTTGCTATCAATTTCTATTTTGTTGACAAAAATAAAATAATAATTTTATCAATTTGTAGATGATTATTCTTCTGATTCTTGGCTTGTTGAGTGGCTCTACTTTTTTTTCAACCAACGTATGCAGTTATGATTTATTTTCTATTGGTTCCTGAAAGTATGTTGGTATTATCTGTTATTGTTTAAGGTTGCTAGCTCATATCCTTCGAGAGAGTGGCCTTGGCACTGTTATTTCTTATTACTTCATGACCGTTAGTAAAGCATATAAATCTGCTGATCTTATTGTATGATGCATGCCTACTTATTTATTGGCTCAAATTATCTATTTATTCATTTGAGAACGAAGTATTATTATATTTCCTTTTGGTTTTAATTGCCTTATGTTCATTTGCTTTATCTCAACATTTAGTTTGCTAAAGAGAATCCAATCAAAGAAATTCCACCACAAGTTAAAGTAGAGGAAAATGAAGATATTACAGAGGAGGCAATAACAACTACCTTAAAAAGGGCAATTGGGTTTCATACAACTATCCAGGCACATGATGGACACTGGCCCGGGGACTATGGGGGTCCTATGTTCCTTATGCCTGGTTTGGTAAGTGCTTGAATTTGTGCAGTTATGTGGTTTCAAGTATAAAGTTTTTGTGCAATCAGGAACACAAGAACTTATTCCTTTTGGAATCCATCATTGCCCATTTCTAAATTTGAATGAGGAAGGCAGATGGTGAACCTTGTTAGTTACGATTTTCTCTCTCCATTTTTACTGGCTATAGTGCACTGATTAATTCAAATTTTGATCTTCATTATTTGCTTCAGGTTATTGTGTTATATGTTACGGGTGCATTAAACACTGTTCTATCCACTGAACATCGTAAGGAAATTTGTCGCTACCTTTATAATCATCAGGTAAAAATAGTTTCTCAGTATCTCCAGATAATGCTGCGTTTCAAATGTTTCCAATAGGAAAAGTAATACTATAGGAGAGAAACAGTGTCCATCAGGGTATCTCCTGTTCTGTGAGCCCCATTCTCTCTCCAACATTTCATATGTAGTAACCTCAATGGATTGTATTTCTCTGTTTTTCCAGAGTCAATTGGACTCTATAGTGTTCTTTCCCTTCCATTTAGATGCTGTGAAACCCATGCATTAGGGACTCTTGTTTTACTTTGATGTATACCCTTTCAGAACAAGGATGGCGGTTGGGGTTTGCATATTGAGGGCCACAGTACCATGTTTGGTACAGCACTAACCTATGTAACTTTAAGGTTGCTTGGTGAAGGACCTGAAGATGGAGAAGATGGGGCAATGGAGAAAGGGAGAAAATGGGTCCTTGACCACGGTGGCCTCACTGCAATATCATCATGGGGGAAAATGTGGCTTTCTGTATGCAGTTATTCCTTAATTCCTTCTGTTTATTTTACAATGGGTAAACAAACAAACTCCCATGTTAATATTTGTGCAAATGGCTGTAGGTACTTGGAGCATTTGAATGGTCTGGAAACAATCCACTACCCCCCGAGATATGGCTTCTACCTTATTTTCTTCCCTTACATCCAGGTGTCGACATTTCTACTTTGATACAACTTCTCTTGTTTTTATAACATTCTTGCATAAGCTATTGTCTCTTGATTTGACTAAACATGTTTACTTCGGATTTGTTTTAATTCAGGGTTCTTAACTTCCTAGTCTGAACCGTAGCATAGATGTTACCTAGTACTGTTAAAAGGCCCTCGTTGGGCACATGCTTTATGGGTGGAGAGAGTCTTTTTTTTTTCTGGCCATTCTAAGTGCCATATCTTTTATAATTTTTATTTATCAAACAACTATTTTCTAATTTATATTTTATAAGTTGTAGCTATTTTCTCCTTCAGGAATAGATCTATGTGTATATATCTCCACTTTTACATTTTGTGAGACATGTTGTCTGCTTAAGTGTTCACAAGGTCATGAGATGCTTATTCTTAGATATAGATGATTGACTTCATTCGTAGTGCTTTCCGTCTACTTGAGAAAGTTATTGGATTGATGAATCACCAAACTTGCCTTGCATACAGGAAGGATGTGGTGTCATTGTCGGATGGTATACTTGCCCATGTCATATTTATATGGAAAAAAGTTTGTCGGACCCATTACAACTACTGTTTTATCATTGAGGAAGGAACTGTATACCATCCCATACAACAAAGTAGACTGGAATGATGCACGTAATTTGTGCGCAAAGGTGATTTTCATACATCTCTCCTTAGCATGTAAGCCACACGGTATGGTTTGGGCAATGTCTTTAATTCTGTCTTCTTTATTGTGTATTACTTTTCTGTGCCTTTGGTATCTAATTGATAGTTCTAGTACGTCTGACTTTGACTTTCATGAGAATTCTTCTTTTTTCTTTTTTCAATATCTTCATTTTGAGCTTCGGTCATTCGGATTTCTTTCGCCTCTGCTTATTAAATGATTTTCAAGTATTATTGGTGACTCTTAACAACTATGTAACTTGGATAGAAAGTAGTAAAAATTATTAAATTTTAAGTTGGAGTAAGAACTCATATTTCTTTTATGCATGCAACAAGTAGGCATTAAGTATTAGTATTTGGTATAAGTTCTCTTCTGTTATGCCTAATGCTCTCAGTTGTGGCTTATTTTTTTTCTTTTATAATCTCATGGCAGGAAGACCTCTACTATCCCCATCCTCTAGTACAGGATATTCTTTGGGGATTTCTTCATAAGGTTGGCGAACCTATTTTTATGCATTGGCCTGGTTCCAAGTTAAGGGAGAAGGCTTTGCATACTGTAATGCAGCATATTCATTATGAAGATGAGAATACACGGTATATTTGTATCGGTCCTGTTAACAAGGTACTTCAGGAAAACTGTACATCAGCAAAAACTAATAGGCTTATTAGTTGAAATTTTTCTTCTTTAGATTTTTCTCAGTGCAATGTGATAGAAATTATTCTCAATTTTAGCCTTGATTGTATTTTCAATCAGTAATTTGTCTTAAGAAATGCACATAAATAATTATTTTAGCCGGACCCCAAATAGTTGGGATGAGGCCCGGATGATGACGATGGGATTTTTTTCATCCTTTTTGCTTTTAGCAGTATGCACTTTGATTTTAAAGCACAAGCTTCCAGCTATGCGACCATTATGGGTTTTGTATTTGCTCAACGTAAATGGAGTATGAGGAGGATCACTCGCTGATCTTATATTGTGTTGTTGTATAATTTAATTTCAGTGGATTTTAGATCCTCCTTTCAAGCAGAAAAATAGCAAAAAGGAAAAAAATGGGAATCAGACTTGGGCTACAATGGTTACCAGTTGATGTTAGCAATGCTACATTTCAAGCTCTATTACTACAGCTGAACTACCCAAAATAAAAAAAGAAGATGACAAAAAGGCAAAAAAAAAAAGCAAAATGTAACAAGGACCTGTTCATTTCCTTTTTTCAAGTGGGTTCCAAACTTGCACCTCTATTTCTATGTTGTTCAATAGATCCTTCCTGTCAAATTTATTGGCCCTTGTTTTTAGGTGTTTGACCTAAGTGATCTTGTTCGCATTATTATACTTTGTCTCCAAGGTGTGGCATAATGCAGGTTATTACTGGTAAATTTGTTTCCTATTTTCATTGTAGAGGGAATCTGGGGTTTAGTGGCCTGGCATTATTAGTCAGATTGCATTCATGGTATTCTTCTGATGTAGGTATTAAATATGCTTTGTTGCTGGGTGGAAGATCCAAATTCTGAGGCGTTCAAATTACATCTTCCAAGAATCTTGGACTATTTATGGGTTGCTGAAGATGGCATGAAAATGCAGGTTTGGAAAATAATTTAGGTGTTTTGGGGCTTTATTTTGGGGGAAATTGTACTAACATATCATGGTCTAAGGAAATTAAGAGTTAATTAGTGGTCCACTGTCTATTGAGATGATGAATGGTGATGGAGCGGAACCCAAGAGTGAAGTTCTGTGGCTCCAACTTTCTGCCATCCACCATTTCATCAAATGATGAAGGCCCCAGTGGATTATGAGTACACTGTAGTCTGTTTAATTCCTGTACACTTCTTATTTTCAAACATTTATCTACTATTCATTGCTTTCAAATATTATCTGTCGGCTTTGCTCTTATCGGTGGCAGTTACATATTAACAAGGTCTTACTGGCAGGGTTACAATGGCAGTCAATTGTGGGATACTGCTTTTGCTGTTCAAGCAATCATTTCAAGTAATCTTGTTCAAGAATACTATCCAGCACTTAAGAAGGCACATGATTACATAAAATATTCACAGGTTTAATGCTCGTCACACATGACCTTTTGGTTTCTCGAAAACTTATATGGATTGGGATTTGAACCCTGCTTATTGCCAAATCATTTCACCTTCTTTGCTTATATCAACCCCAGCTAATGAATAACTCTTCTTTTGTCCATGCTTGTTTCTGTGAAGGTTTTAGAGAACTGTTATGGGGACCTTCAGTTCTGGTATCGTCACATTTCTAAAGGTGCATGGCCTTTTTCAACTAGAGATCATGGTTGGCCTATATCAGATTGCACTGGAGAAGGCCTAAAGGTAAAACCTTTTTCCTTTTCATATTTTGTTCTCTGATAAATTCATACTTCAAATAGACAGCCAAATTCCTCTGTGGTTGCCCCATTTTTCCCTTCATTTCAGGTTGCACTCTTATTGTCGCAAATTTCACATGATGCTGTGGGGGAACCGATTCCTGCAAATCGGTTCTATGATGCAGTTAATGTTATAATTTCTATGCAGGTAAAAATTTCTTCAGTTTCATTGTTAATATATTTTCCAGTTAGCCACTAAGAAAATAATAGCGGTTCGATTATTGTAATGGAGATCTGATTTTAGATTCTTACTGATTTCTTCCTTTGGTATGGCCATGATTAATATGATAGTGCGATGTGCATGTTACTTGGTTTGAATTACTTCTAAACAGTGTTGGATGGAATTCGACATAGTCACTTGTGTTTGACAAATTTTGCTTTTGGGGTGTTTATGGGGTCTCGAGTGTGGGAAAGCATCCAAAGAATTTACGAACATGTTGCCACATCCATATGACAAAATAAGTATATAAGAAACTTGATATATGTAGTACTATTTAGGACACTATGTACTTAATATAGTAATTTATGTAGTAATTGCTATGTGCTGGCCGATTCCCTAGCAATGTGCTGTACTCAATATAATAATTTATCTAATAATAACAGGCAATACACACACCTAGTAATTTTTTTACGAAGTTAACCATAAAAAGGAATTATGTAGTAATATTGCTTTGAACAAACCTACTCAAGGCTCTCATTTAGTTTCACAATATTGGCATAACAAACACTAGAGATGTTTTTCACCCTGATTTTCCTATTTTGTATTGTTATGGTGTTTTATTTTTATTTTGTTTAATTTATTTTTCTACTGCAGAAAAGCTCTGCATAAGACTTGGTCAGTGAACGAGGCTTGGGACTAGGACAAGTCCCAAGCTGAGTCTTAGCTTTAAACTTCTTAACTATCAGTATATTCTTTACTCATCATCATCATGAAAGCCTTTTCCCAACTGCTTGGGGTCAGCTACACGGATCTTGGTCTGGCACTCTGCTCTATCAAGGGCCATACCATCAAATCAGTATATTCTTAACTATAAACTAAAAAAGTTCTTGCGAATATTATGACATTGTACTTCAAGACCCAAAAGATTATACTTGATCGGGCAATTTCTTATTATCTTACATTGTACTTGTGAACTTCTCTGTTTTATTTATTTAGTTTTGGACTTTCTATTTATTATAGATCATTTGTGCTGCCTAATGTGTACCCTAATTACATAACTTATGCTTCTATACCATTTTCTTCTTTGATCATTTTCAGATGCATATCATGATTGTCCTCACGAATGCTGATAAAAATTTTTCCTTCTCCTTTATCAAAACAGAACAGTGGTGGCGGTTTCGCAACATATGAGCTTACCAGGTCTTATGCCTGGTTGGAGGTAACATGACTTGTTCAGTGCCATGCTATTTTTCTCAACAAGTAATTCGACTTTGTAAAATTGTCTTGTGTGAGACTTGGGAATTGAACTAGGAACCAAAATCTCAAAACTTTTTAAAAAATACAAATAGTCACATTTATATTTTCTGTTACTGTATGGAGAAGGTTTTTTCTCTGTCAATGTATGCGATTGGAACTTCTTCTTTTTTATCCATGTTATTTTAGTTGTATCCCACTTGTCTTATGTTTCATGGAGGTTATATCTCTAACCATTTTCTGTCTCTATCAGGGTACCAGGGTAATCCTGGCCATTAGGTACTTGAAACTGATATGGTTAAAACTGGTATAAATATTATTGCCAATCCTAAATTAGTTCCTTCTACTGAAATTTTCGGTGTGCGAGTGCATGCATGTATGGGCCAGGGATCCTGTGCTTCCACCAGCAGTTTAGGTGATAAAATTAATTTCTCATTTGTGAGACCCTTCATTTCTGAATCCAGTTCTTTAGCACAAATTCAGACCAAACAGGTCATTTTTGTGACTATAAGAATTTTTCCTTTTCTTTATTAGCATTGTTTATATTTGCTCTGTACTTCTAGCACAAGCTATGTTGTGACAGCCCCAGATGTTTTCTGTGGTTTACTTATCTAGACTTGTCCTAATCTTCCTTGGATCCTAACAGCTGGTTGTGGATTCTTGGCATGTAATCATTGATCATGGCCATCATACATTAGAGTTTTACAGGGGAGTTCCATCTTATGGTCTTAGCCATATTCTAGCCAAAATAGTTTTGAAAATTTGAAATTTTAAGTGGTGCCCTCCATATTTCAAAATTATACTTCCTTGCTTCATTTGAAAACAGTTTCTATTATGTTGGGGATATGTTTCTGGTCTCAGCATGATTTGGTATATTTCTGATTCATATGTTGACCATCAGGATTCTTCCTCTTTGTATCCTGCCTTAACTATTTTAGCAAAAACACATCTTCATTTTCCTTTTCTTTTAAGGGATAGTATAGCATCCACATCATTTGGATGCTGGAAGGGTGCACAAGCACCCATCAACGGTTTATATTGGAAGGAAAAGACATGGCGGCCACAATTTAATCTAGGATTTAAAATTTTTTTTTTATGTTAATTGCAATGAAATGAAATTCTGAAGGTGTTTGTGCCACACTTAGGCACAGTTAAATAAAATATTAAAAAATAATTTTTAAAAATTAAATTCACCAAATTATCCCTCAAACATTCAGGGGTATTTTGGTTAATTTATTTTTTTACAAATTTCTTTATATTTTTTTAGATGCGCCTGATTGAAGTATGTTGTTGATGCCTAAAATTTCAAATTACTCAAAATTATCAAAATAACAAAAAATAAGATATTATAAACAACCTTGACCATCCATTTGTTTCAGGGATATTTTGGTCAATTTGTTTTTTACAAGTTTCTTTAGATTTTTTTAGATGAGCCTGATTGAAGGTTGTTGATGCATAAAATTTCAAATTAATCTGAATTATCAAAATAATAAAAAATAAAATATTATAAACAACCTTGCCCATCCATTTTCCTTTCTTTTAATTCAAAACGTTAGGAGTGGGCTTGTGCGCCCTCCAACACAATTTTCTTTTTCTTTGTGAATGTGAGGCTTCTTCTTTTCTCCTTGCATCTTGTCATGAGTGAGTCTTAACATTATCTTCTTTGCTGTATTTGGATTTTGCAGCTAATTAACCCAGCTGAAACTTTTGGGGACATTGTTATTGATTATCCGTAAGATTTATTGCTTTCCATCTTCATTTACTTGTATGGACTTGTTTTATCTACCTTAAGCTAGAGTGTTCAAATTTAACACGAACCGGCTCTTTTGTAGTTATGTAGAATGCACTTCAGCAGCTATTCAAGCTCTGGCTTCATTCAAGAAACTCTACCCTGCGCATCGGACAAAAGAGATTGAAACATGCATCTCAAAAGCAGTTCATTTTATAGAAAGTATTCAAAGACCAGATGGTTCATGGTTTGCCTTCTCCCTCATGCTGATCTAAGTTTTTTTCAATAAATTCATTTGTGCTCAAATAAGTTACAAGCGAGATCCTGCTAGTATCAAAATTTGGGTCTGTATTGACTTGTCACATATCAACCGTTGAACATGAATCCTTGATTATGATGTGTACTTGTTTCAGCAGTGCTCTTGAGGGAATGTGAAGCTCCAACCGAGAGCTCTCTGCCTCCTGCTGGAGAGGTAGAGGGGCATACATAAAGAAACTTTTATAAATGGGTCTCAGCCTACAACAGTAATTCAACATATGACAATGGCATTATTGGCAAAATGTTGAATTTGTACAAAGTACATGGCAAATCATCTTTTAAAACAATAGACCTGCATGTGGATGTGTGAGCACATGTATGTAGGATATATTTTTTGGAGCTTTTTAATTATTCTAAGATTTGTAATTTTGGTAATTACCTGTTGTTATATTTATTGTTTTCTATTTTTCTTTTTATGCATGTATTTGTATTGACAAAATTTTTCGTAGCGTTGTTTTATCTTTTTTTAGATCAATGTATTGCCATGTTAGCCTTTTTTGGGTTGCCATGCCCTGTGCATGTTAGGAGGGATGCATTTGTTAAAGAAGGAAAATGGAACTCTGAACATCAGGTTAATGTTATATGGAATGAGAGGCTGAATGTATTAAGAAAGTGGCAAAAGAGGTTTTATGAGAAATTAAAGGGAAAAGAAATTCTGATAAGAAAGCTTGGTGGTGAAATGACGAGGTTCAGAAGGCCATTCTCGAAAAATGATCATGTTATAATCAAAACCTAGAAAGATATGAAAATGCTAAGAAAACGCTAAACAAATAGTAATTAAGGCTAAACTTAAGGCATATATACAATAAACTGGGGACAATAAAATGTGAAAAAATATTTTCAAATTAGCAAAAATGAGAGAAAAAGTGTAGGGATATAGACTATATTAACTTCATTAAGAGTGGGGATCAAATGGTCTTGGTGAAGGATGACGAGGTCAATAAAAGGTGGAGAGTTTATTTAAAAAGTTATTAAATGACGAAGACAATGGAAACACAATAGTAGAAGGAACCACTGACATAAAGAGGCGGAGTTCATAGATACATTCATAAGATTAGGATATCAATAATTAAAAAAAAAAAAAAAAGATATCAGAAGTGAAAGAAGCTCCGAAGAGGATGAAGATCGGAAATGCTTTAGGACCAAATGGTATCTCGATAAAGGTTTGAAAGTGCATGAGAGAGATCGGCCTTGACTGGTTGACCAAGCTGTTCAACAAGGTGTTGAGAACAAAGAAAATGCCAGACGAATGGAGGAAAAATATTGCAGTAGCTATTTACAAGAATAAAAGAGGCATACAATATTGTGCGACTGCGAACTATCAAAGGATCAAACTTATAGGAGCCACACTATGAAGTTGTGGGAGAAAGTGATTGAGCAAAGACTAAGGCATGAAACGAGTGTGTTAGAAACTAATTTGATTTTATGCCAGAGAGGTCAACAATTGAGGCCAATTTCCTATTTAGGCAACTGATTGAGAAGTTTAAGGCGAAGGGAAAGGACCTCTAAATGGTCTTTATTGATCTAGAGAAAGTTTAGGATAGAGTACTTCAAGATTTAATTTGGTGGGTGTTAGAAAAGAAAGGAGCCTCCAAATACTATATCAAGTTGATGAGAGATATGTACAAGGGAGTGCTAACTCGTGTGCGAACAACTAGTCGAGAGACAAGTGAGTTTTCAGTGACAATAGATCTATATCAGGGGTTAGCATTGAGCCCATAACCACAAGATGAGGTACCATGGTGTATGTTGTTTGTGAATGACATAATTTTGATTGATGAGACGCAAAGCAGCATCAACACAAAGCTAGAACTTTGGAGAGATGCTCTAGAATCTAAAGGTTTTAAAATTAGCCGGACTAAGACAAGGTATACAGAATACAAGTTTAGTAATAATAAGAATATAGACGAGGAAGTAGTTACGATTGATGGCCTAGAAATACCAAGAACAACGCACTTTTGACATATTGGGTCAATAATCCAGGAAAATAGAGATATTGAGGAAGATATTGCACATAGAATTAGAGCAGGGTGGATGAAGGGGAGATGTGCAACCGGAGTTTTATGTGGTCGCTGCATGCTAATGAAGCTGACGGCAAAGTTCTGTAGGACACCTGTGAAACTAACTTTGCTTTATGAGGCAGAATATTTGGCAATCAAGAAACAACATACTCCATTGGATGTGTAGTTGAGATGAGGATGTTGAGATGAATGAGTGGCAAGACAAGAAGGGATAGAATTCAGAATGAATACATTTAGGAGGACTTAGGTATGGCTTTAATAGGCGATAAGATGAGAGAAAGTAGACTTATGTGCGCTGGCTATATCTGGTGTAGATCTAGTACAACACCTGTTAGAAGGTGCGAGGTGGTTCAAGGGAAAAGCTCAAAAAAGACAAGGGGTAGGCCTAAAAGGACATAATTGAAAGTAGTGAGAAAAGACATGGGGACTTATGGCCTCACTGAGGGTATGACCCTTGATAGAGCAGAATGGCGGACCAAGATTTATGTAGCCGATCACAAATAGTTGGGAAAAGGCTTTGATGAGGATGTCGTGTGCATGTCAAATGTTGCATGCTGTGTTGGACATGTGACATGGTGAACTTAACATTGTCATATGCCCTTTTTCTCATGGTTAAGTGAAGTATATGCATAATGTTTGAACCACACAATATACAAGCGGGCAATCTACTACTTGTTCTCAAAAGGGATAGTGGACATGAAATGTAGTTCAAGAGTGGTTGACATTACGGTAGTGCTGTTCATTTCTAGCATTCCTGTTTGCAGATGAATACAGCCAATGGTGGATGTCCTCCCCGCTATAGCATGCACCTAATGTGTACCCTATGCATTTTTGCATTTGATGGTTCATTATTACTGGTCAATGCTTGCTTTTGATTCATGGAAGTGGCTTCAGTTTATTCTGAATAAAGTTCTCCACTGGTCCTCTTTGATGTCACTTTAATGGAGTGGATTATATAAGGATGCTACCTTATAATGTAGAACTACGGATGCCCCCTCAAAAATCCATCGGAAGAGGTAGTTTTAATGTTGAAAAACCTTGTGATTGATCATCTCGACATCGAGATGTATGACTATGAAAAATAAAAAGATATTAAGTCTCAGAAATAGTGCATTTTACAACATATTATCTACACCGTCCATTTTCATATGTTTATAGATCTACTTGTTTTTAACCATTTTTGAAATTTAAAATTTTATAATTAGATATAAAAATAGATTTTGAGATAATCCTAATAACATTTTACATCAAAATTATATACCATGATAAAATTTGAACGGCACCGTACCTCTACACCTACGGAGGCGTCCGTATGCAAACTGCACCCTTATTTAATACAGTTGTTCTTTGAATAGGTACGGCTCATGGGGTGTTTGCTTCACGTATGCCACATGGTTTGGAGTGAAGGGTCTGGTATCGGCTGGCAAAACCTACCAGACTAGCCCAAGCATCCGTAAGGCATGCGACTTTTTGCTCTCAAAGCAGCTGCCCTCTGGTGGGTGGAGTGAGAGCTACCTTTCATGTCAAGATAAGGTAAATCATTTCCCTTAGATATCAATAATATATCAAGTGCTGTTCATTTCACCGGAAGCATACGAATCCGATAGACATTCGGAATGGGCTTGGGTCAAATGGTTTTCTAGAACAATCACCATGTCAGGTGCCGTGTTGACACTTGTAAAGTATTTGGACGCCCACGTATTTTCCCATGTATTTTTAGCATGAAATTTGTCAAATTTCCGATATTGGATAGAATACAGATGAATTCTCATTTCTTTTTCTTGTTTTCTTTGGGTTATATTTTTGTGTTCTTATTTTAATCTTGTTTTTGGTGGCTGCCATTCCCTTGTTCATATGGAAACAGGTGTACTCAAATCTCAAGGGGAACAGGTTGCATTTGGTAAACACAGCATGGGCTATGTTGGCTCTCATTGATGCCGGACAGGTTTGACAAATGATTGCTAAGATTTTCGGGCTATTATCTTTACGGAAAATATACTATAGACAATAAAGGTATCATAGTCCTACGAGTTACCGTTGTTCTTTGCCATGCTGGAAACGTGATGGAGAGATAGTGGGACCCCATCAGATTAGAACATGAATCGAACCCGGGGTGGGGTCCATGCTCTCCATATTACCATCCATTGTTTCACTGGATGGTGATGACCATTGGACTATTTTCTCCTGTGGTATATTAGCTTATAGCATATTTTCCTTTTCCTTTTTTTTTTTTACATTATATTTTCCTTTTCCTTTATTGAGATTCCAAAGACCATTATGCTTATAATGCTTCTCTACTATTCAAATGGCTGTGAACCTTACAAAGAACAAACCAAATCCCTCTTCAATCCCTAAAAACTAATGAGGGGCAAAGGGAATTTTATTGTATTTTATTTTATCTTTTAAAGGCATTTGAAAAATTCCTTAGGGAAGAGTATATCACTTCAAATTAGCCAGTATAGGGTGAGTTTGACATTCACCATAAGCCCATTTATTCTTCTCACTTGGTTTCCTATTAGCTTATTTTGTCAACTCAGCATACAAGTCCCGCTGTCTTATAAAGGGAAAGCTTTAGATGTACTATTCGAAAAATAAATGTCACTTGTGAAAATGTGGGATTGATAGAATGACAATATGGGGTTCGGAACTGTGAATTTGAACCCCAGAAACAATTTCCATCTTTTAAAGGATTTTTGCAAAGCTTGAAAATCCGAGTTGTTCCATTTTGCCACTCAACTTGGTGAGTCAACTCAGTTTTGACAGTATTTCAAATAAAAGAGATGGCGGGTTCAAGCTCCAATGATTCACTTTAGTGTCTTGAAGCTACATGGAATTTAACTTACAGAGAGAGAGTGTGTGTGTGTGTGTGTGCATGCGTGCGTATGTGCGTGCGTGCGTGTGTGTGAAAACCATTCCTTTGTCAAGGAGGAAAAGAGTGTTGATAGTAAAATTTTCCTGGACTTTCGTGTGAACAGGCAGAGAGAGGTCCTACACCATTGCATCGTGCATCAAGGGTATTGATTAATTCACAGATGGACAATGGTGATTTTCCACAGCAGGTAAAATCCACTACCCTGGGTATGTGTTTAACATATATATTTCCTCCCCTCTGTTTGCCGGGGAATATTCTGGGGCCGCCACCTATGTGCTGCATTTTCAGTGAAAAACAGGGAATTTGGCACTCCAGGGTCCCCCCTGGAGTGCTGGTTACTGCAGTAAATATCACACTTAACTGTAGCAGGCTATTTACGATGCCATTTGTCAAACATGCCCTTAAATTCTTGTGCAAAAGCTTGACCCTAGAATGGATGACCCATTCATCTTTTGTAATGTGTAGCAAGAAGATCTGAACAGTCCATATAGGAGTATTACTTCATTTAGAAAAGATAAGTGGTTATGGTTTCAGGACAAATGATAAACTGTGAAAACAACAATTGTGCTTGGATGACCTTCATTCAGACGCTCTAGGAACTTGGAACCTGAAAACATTATATAAAATGCTCATTTCTTTCTAGGTGATCATATAACCTGATCAGTTTACTGAACCACCCTTACTGTGGGGTGAAAAGTCATAGGCAAGAAAACCAATCCAAGCACTTGTTTGAGATTCCAAATATATAGAACACCTGTACTGTTCTAGACACTGTTTGGATTTTCTCTCCCCAACAGATAACCGAACTGCTATATTATTTTATAGCAACCTATCAATACAGCCAGTTTTTTTAAACCAAGAAAGTATCAAACATTTCCATATTCACAAGATTGTACAACTACTAATGATGCCCCTTGCTGATTGCTTTATGCTTGTGGCCTTTGCTTCTCACCATGTTGGTGTCTAAAGACCATGCTGCCAATCTAGCAAAAAAAAGCACTATGTATAAATTCCACACGTGTGCATGCATGTGTTTAACATTTGTATGTGTATACACACTCTAAAATTGCTCGAGTATTGTTTAATACACAAAAAATGGGAATGATCTATTTCCATGCATCACTATAACCAAGTCATAGTTTAGGTTTAATAGAGTTAGTTTGCAAAATATGCGTACTGCTTGGTAGTCTTTAATTTTTTGCGTACATCTTAATAGTCTTCAATTTCAGGGGTCATATCTCCCTCCCTCCCTCCCTCCTGCTTAGTAGTCTTTAATTTTTTGCGTACATCTTAATAGTCTTCAATTTCAGGGGTCATATCTCCCTCCCTCCCTCCTGCTTAGAAGTCTTTAATTTTTTGCGTACATCTTAATAGTCTTCAT